CTGATGTGAGCATCTCCGGGGTTCGCAAGCGCGCGCACGCACGTCTCCGCCCGCACCCGTTCCACGCGAGCCGGACGGACATGTCGACCGGCATGCGCTCGGTCAATCGCGGGTTCGACTTCGCGACAGAGGAGAACGGCATCGCAATACAGCGGATGCAGAGCCACCTTTCTGAGCGACATCAGGCGGCGCCCGTCAAGCGTCGCCGGAACCCGTCAACCCTCATCCAGACGTTCTCATTACGACGCCCGCTCCGGCGGAAGAAGCATGCGTCGCAGTCTTCGCATCCGGAGGACGAACCCTCGTCGCCCTCACCGCCTCGCTCTCCTCGCTCGTCGCACCACAAGTCATAGTACTGGCATGCTCGCCTGTCCGTCCGTCTTCCTGGGTCTGACTGGGTGACTTGGACTGCCCTTATTTATTTCTACGCCATCACTGACCGTCATGTCTGCCCCCTCACGTTCCTTGTGTTGTTATTACCCCACCCCCATCCGCACCGTATGTATCCACCACTGCCAGCTCTCCTAGATCGCCATATCTATTTCACGCATCTCACGACGCCACGTTCGCATGGATTATAAATTCTCTAATCAATTGTATTTTGTGCTCGCAGCACGCTGTCCTTGTGCTGAGGACCTCAGGCTCAGTGCTGATGGCACAGTGTGTGCAGCTCTCCTAGCCCTGCAGGCTGCATTGGTTTCTCTTCCTATCCTCTTGTAAAGGAGTTGCGGAGCCCCCACGTTGGCCTTCCATGACATGCCAATGTATAAAACGTGACGAGTGCACTGAGTACGGTATGGTATAGACCGGTGCCCACTGTGACCGAGGCGAGTGTTTTACTGCTAGTAGATCTTCTGGAAACCTGCAACGAGCTCCAGCTGCGTGCGTAGCATAGACACCCGAGCAGCTGGCATCATACTCCCTCCTCGCAAAGGACCTATCTATGGCTCTTGACGAACTCAGCACAGCGTGTCTTCAGCCTCGCCTCCAGGGTATGCATGACTGAGAGCAATCCCTTCACGGGATGCGGCGGACGGAGACACGCGGCCAACCTCCCGGGCCACTGAGAGTCTACGCGGCGGCTCCGGCCACGGCCTACCAAGGATCGTGCTGCATCGCTCAGCGATGAGTACATAGGCCATTCAAGGATGCATGAACTTGGACACTTACGTTTCGTGTCCTTAGACACATCCCACTGGACTTTGGTCGCCCGAGAATCGTGCGGAGGTCCCGTTCTTCTGGCGAAAGCCACATTGACAAGACAGGACTGGCTCAGCTCCAGACTCGGGCTGCGGTCCTACTTGAGGACGGTATGGCTTCTAGCTCGGTCAGTCTATTGGAGTCGTTCTGTACTAACGAACCAAGCTCACCAGGGCCGTATTCGGGGAGACATTGCGCTTGGGGGTACTAACAGGAACCGTCCCCGAGTTCGGTGAAGGACGGCATTTCTGCCTCTGAGCGTGGCATTTGGTGGCGGAGGAGGCACACGTTGTCATGGAACCCATTGCGTCCGAGGGCGAGTGGAAAGGTGATGTCGTACATACTAGCGGTCGAAAGTCAGTCTTTATATGCGACAACTGGGTCCTTGAGCTTCATGGTGCATGCGAGCAGGTCCGTTTAGGACAGGCAGAGACGCGTTGGCCACTAGCGAGCTGCTGGATATCTCGAGCACTGCAGTCACATCAGAGTCCTTTAGTGTGAGGATGTGAATATCTGCACGCACAAGAGCTTCCCGCTGGGAGATAGAGTCCGACCGTATGGTGAGCGCACCACGACTCGGACCCACATGCTGCTAGTGGCCCACTCAGCGCTGTGCCTTCGGCTTCACCCGTGTACAGATATCTGGATTGCGGCACACCCTCCATCTCCGACTGCGACGTCGCTGTCGCACAACTAGCCAGGAATCCACTCTTTCACCGAAGGTGCAATGTTCCGTGGCATGATAAGCAAGCGACGTTCATTGCATTCATATATAGATAGTCTAAGCAAGGTAAAGTCATACAAACCGTCGAGGTATCAGGAAAGTCAGTATACGGCCATTCTGCCAAATCGCCATGGAATGATGCCCATCGTCCGCGGTCTACAGTGAGATTCATGCCTTAGACGACCCGTCTGCCAACAGTACTCACTGTAAACCGCTCGTCATCTCCAAGGTCATCCATTCATTGACGGCATAGCATATAGCTCCCTGAGACGGATGACCTGATGGAGCACCGCACGAAGGATATCCTGGAGCGCATAGCTGGGGGAACATGAGTGACTGCTGGAACGTAGGGTCTGCAACGAGCCCTTCGATATCCGTCGAACTCGTGTCTTTCGCCACGCACATTGATGCAGCGTCTTGTCGGGTACGTCCGAGGGAAGACGAGAACATCAGAGCGTCCGCGCGATGATGGTGCTCGAGTCTTCGTAATTGAGGCGCTGGGCTGAGGAACTCCTCGGCCCTCTTTCGTCACATCCCTCTCAGGAGTGAAGTTTCCTATACCGCATCCGCCAATAGGCAGAGGTGAGGTCCGCTCGCTCTGGACAGCGCCGTCGCTCTTTCCCGCACGAAATCCATCGGACTGGGGCTCGGATGAGCATCACGCACGTCTGCACGGACGCATAGGAGACCGTCCTGGATCTGGTACCTGAGGGAGCGGTGCAGGCGCGAGAACTCGAATGGCCTACAGGTAGCCTGTTAACCTCGGCGGATCCCTCCCGGGGTCGCGGAAGTAGAAGAACTGCTCGCGCGGGTGCAGAACAGATGAGGGCTTGGGTACGAGAAGAGCGGGAGGGGGAGCTTGCGAGGACAGAAAGTGCTGATGAGTGGATGAGAGGGTATGGCGTTTGCTACGTGGGGCACCGACTGAGGGACATCCTTACTTCGCGATTGAATCAGAGAGCCTCGACCACAACGAGGACGTCCACTGACGATGAGCGGTGTTATGACGTGCCTTCGGTACCGGAGGTCTAGGTTGCCAGCTTTAAATATGGATCGAAGGTAAAATGGTGGCATACAGAAGTCAAAACTTCCTGAAGCGACTGCTGAAGCGAGTGCTATAGGAAGAGGGATAATGGCCGACGCTCGTCGCTAGGATCTAATCTGGTCGGCTACTGGATGTGAAAACCAGAGTGTCCAGACGTACTGGATGAGTTTGTCTACCGCCTCCTCGGCCCGTTGACATCATGGTCAGATCCTCTCGCGTGTCTGACGATACCTGATGAACTTCGTGTCGTAGGTCAGATCCCAGGAGACGGTGATCTCGTCCCGACCACTGATGATAACGCGCACGGGCCTCTTCTCAGAGAAGCTGCGCAAAGTTAGCATCCGCGCGAGCCTCAAGTGATAACACTGACGAAGACTTACGTGAACCCGCGCTGTGCAAGCGTTCCGAGCCCCCCATACGCTCGCTTCGGTGACAAATTGGACAGAGGCACGCGGAGGTCAGCGTCCCAGCTGCACGCGCCCCGCGGTACGTGGACATCGCCGATGATCTTCCATGCACGAAGCGCAGACTCGGCGGCGTCGTGTTCAAGATAGAGACACTCGGTGCCGTGCGGGCCATAGTCCCCCAACCACAGTCCAACGAGAGACTCGGGACGCCAGTCAGGAGACGCGGGGTCATCGCCTTCCTGGGTAGGATACCGAAGCGGGAAGTAGCATGGGACGAGATCGCTGAAGTCCCTCGTATGGGGTAGACGGGGGTTGTGGATTGGAATCCGCACATCAGATTCTTGTCTAGGAGGCGGCGGGAGGAAAGCGATCGACGCAGGCTTCTGTGCACCATGGACATATGTGATCGGTGGGCTGTAGATCCAAGAGTAGCGTGTCTGCTCTACGACAGGGGGTCCACGCTCCTGGGGAAGGCGAGGCACCCCTCGATCTGGATCATACCATGGTGCAGAGGCGAGCATCTCTGGCTGGACGAGCCGCTCGTTGTACTGAGCCTCCACCTCGAAGGTCAAGGATGTAGGAGCGATAACCTTCAGTGAGGGCGTTGCCAGCCTGCCGTCGCCGTCCATGCGAACCCACGGCGGAGGTAAGCCGTTGTGGACCAGGAAGCCGAGATCGCGCTCGGAGCGGAGGTGCCAGCTAATATGCACGTCGTTGGCAGTCGCAGGCGTCGACTTCTTCCAAGGGACGAAACCGATCTGCATGAACTCGGTATATGTAGGCTGATACGGCCGTGGGGCCTTGGACTTGTTGGTGTCGAACTCCCAGACCTCGCCGATGATGATCGGCTCTCCGCGGCGGAGCCAATTGTCCGGGACAATGCGAAACTCGATGATGTTTCCGTGACAGGGATAATCGCTGCACCACAGCCCAAGTAAGGGACCGTACCGGTGGAGGAGACGGCCGTAGATGGTCCGAAAGGAGCGTCTGCGGAAAGTGCTCGTGTCCTTGATGCCGTACCGCGCGCAGAAGATGTACCATGTAGAGTCGTCATCGATCAAGGGGTAATAGAGCTTGCGGGAGATGCAGAGAAAGTGCAGAACCTCGACGGCGGAGAGTCGAGAGAAGATCTCTCGCAGAACATCGTAGGGGAGGTCTAGGACCGAAGGCATCTTCTTTCCCGCCTTTTCCCACTGCCATCGGACAGAACGGAATGAGAAGAGATAGCCCAAAACTGGTACGCAGGAGGGTCGCTCACCTTACGCCGAGGGGGGTTTAGTGGTTCCGCACACTACCATCGTCCCGGTGTAGGTGTCAGATCTCAGCGAGGTAATGCGAGCCGATGACCGGCATACCAAGACAAAAAAGTGCAAATGTCTCTGTGTCCAGCGCCGGTCGTTGGAAGGCGTGTTCAATATTTCATTGGCGAGGCAGGTTATGCAAGGACGTGGTAGAGGTCCAAGGAACACGAGTATGCGACCCCCGTCCCCCGCCGCGTGCAAGCCCTGTTGCTCCGGAATAGGCAATGGACGCTCACGTGGCCCTCTCTGCCAAGACAATTGCCGTGCATTTTTACCAAGTTCTTTTATACGATATATTTTGTTAATGCACCCTTCATCACAACCCTCCGATAGCTCAGTTGGTAGAGCGCAAGACTGTAATCGGTTACCTTGCAGGTCATCTTGAGGCCGCTAGTTCGATCCTGGCTCGGAGGACTTTTTTTGTCTTGTCCTTCCCCGCGCTGATCCAGTCTTCCAACTTGTTCATTGTAATTCCGCTCATCGTCCTCTGAACGCTCAGCAAGTACGATTGGGATTACGGATGGACAGCATGCAGTTAGGCAGCTAGTTCAGCTTTGTCCGAGTTACTATCCTGTATGCTGGAAGCGCGGCCCATGTCTGTGCACGTATTCGTTGGCAACGCCAAGTACTCCTGTGATGTGTCTCAACATTGAGCATCACATAGCAAGCTAATACACATGAGCATGAGGATGTAGGGTACAGTTCCAGATCCGCAACACGAGCGAATGTCCGCGATAACAGAGCAAGGCAGACATACAGTACATAGCATCATGGTCCTAACGTCCAGGAGACCTCACACTCTTCTCCACCACCACCGTCGCCGCGCTGTCTGCGGCGGGGGCGGGACCTCGACACGTACCTGACAGTACGGACACCGTCCGGACTTCTGCGTAAGCCATGGATCAATGCAGTCCTTCTGTAAAGACATAGCGACCGTGAGCAACGATTCGGGCGAAGCAAGTATGAGGACATACGTGGTAAGCGTGGCCGCAACTCAGCAACCGGAGCGGTTGCAAGGCGTCTGCGTTCTCCTCATCCGCCATCTCAACAGTCCTCGCATCCGCTGGATGCGGATTCTCAACCTGCACCTCCTCGATATTCCCCGCCGCCGCACCTTCTCCAGGCGACAAACGTGGAACGGCAAGCATCTCATGCGCCTCTTGGCCTTCTGGATCCTCCGTCACCACATCGGGAGTCCGTCCAGCGTTGAGTTTCCGCGGCTCCTCGAATTCACAGAGACAAATCATACACGTCGCCTTGTTCTCTGGGAGGCGCACCAAGGGATAGGGCGCCGGCTCCCACCTTGCGTCCCACGAGTCGACGCCCCCTGGGAGGATGGTCCCGATGCCCTCTTCCAGCTCGGCAGCGGTGGGCATAGCATCCGTACCACGGTTTCGCTTCGGTCGGAGAAGGATGAAGCGCTTCTTCTTGGGGAGCGCGGGTGGGGGTGGTTTGGGCAGTGATGGCGGGTATGAGAGAGGGCGTGGGGAGGCGGGAGAGGTGCCGTCATCTCCTGGCGGTGGGGGTATGTATAGTACGAGCGGGATGCGGTCTACTTCTGCTTGGGACAGCTTGCCGATGACCGGCTGGCCAGCGCGCCGTCTCATCGTCGCTACTTTTACGACCTGGAGGAAATGTTAGCAAATACCCGCACCGACGAAGCAGGGAGGCTCACAGAAAGGATCGTGTTGATCATGAAGCGGATGTAGATCATGAGAAGCAAAGCGACGGTCATAGACGTGACAATAGGCGCTGCATCGCGGCAGTGACCTCCCCGCTGGATGGCCAAGAGCAACGCGGTAACGGACCATACCAGTGTCAATGCCGGACTAAGTCTGATGAGACTGTGATGCACGTATCAGGGACAAATTCTGAACAGCACAGGGCGTTGTGTTCTCACAGGATGTGCAGAGCTATGAGGTTCAGAGGGCAGATATATTCTATGGCTGTTGGTCCGCGAGTAGGTTCCACCGCGACAGCCGCGGCCTCCAGGTCAGCGGTTGCCTGTTCATCAGTCGCAGCACCCCGCATGAGAGTCTGACCACCGGGGGTGTTGGCGGTGCGCCTCTGAGCTCGTCGACTGTGATGGGTGTTAGTAACGAGTACTGAGTGACGATGATGTTCGCTGCTCGGAACGTACGAGAGAACGCGTTTCATCCATCGGGCCCAGAAGAGAAGGTATACAACAAAGATTACTCTCCCGAGCCATATGAGGTTGAGTATGGCAAAGTCGGAGCAGGCACCAAACTGCGTTTGACCCGTATGTGTGGGCTGTGGGCTCTTGTAGACGGCTGCCAGGGCTGTAATAACTGTGATAGCAACAACCTACCATGTCCCCGCAATTTAGTATCCTATATGCATTGAAACAACCCATTGGGCAAAGCCAGAAGCTCGCCCGACGATAGATTGGAACGTACCTGTCCTACCGATGAAACTATGAAGATGACCAGGCTCACGGTTCGTCGACGTGCCCTACGCTCACTCTCCGAACCGCCGGCGAAGCCCAGAAAAGCTAGCATCCTTTTCCATGGTGACACACCATCCGCGACATTGATATCAGCTCCGTTCGCCTCCGCGTGGTTTGGCTGCTCAGCGGAAGCGTCCGGAGTGGACATTGGCGGTACAACGCCTGACGCACCAGAGTGACCCTGTGCAGAGGTCGGCGGCCTATGGGTTAGCGACGTCGCCGAGCGGTCGTCCGCATTATGATCCATGCTGTTCAGAAAGCAAGGTGGTCATGGAGGTAAGTGAGAGAGATGAGATGGCACTGCAGGACGAGACTGTCATACCATGATGGAGTAGCTAGAACGCTGGTTTTGGGTTCGGCAGGACCGCATTGCCCCGCACAGTCGCGGCCATCAGCGCTTCGGCAGGGCTATACATAGTCTACCCCATTAGTCAGTTCGGGCGTCTCCCATCTGTGAACTCATCTGCATTGACCGACCTTTCGTGCCGAACGCCACTCTTCAGCGCGACACGACCGCAGCTGTAGACTCGGCACGCATTTTTATAGTCCCGGAAGTAGTATCTTACAGTAGCTGGGATCCGCTGCGCTAGGTTTCTGAAAGCGACCGATACCGTCGACCCTGGGATGTATACGCTTCGCTTCGAAGTACCAGCAAGAATGTAAAAGTGGTCAGTCCACCGAGCCGTTCCGATGGTCAGTACTTCAACGTCCACTCTGGGCTTTAGCTGGCAACTCATGTGAGAAGTATATGTGTTATATCATGTCCATTGTCGAAATGTGCGATGCCTGGCACTTCGATACAGGCTGTACGCCGATCGTGACTTGAAAACTATGATGGTCAGTAGGCCTAGGTAGTCTATAGGTCAATGCGCGTAGGTACCCAGCCGACGCGAAATATGCACATGGCATATGCAAGGCACCTGTTACTGACGTATCAGTAAAGGCCTCGATGGGACCGGTTTCCAGTCTCGGCTCGCTGCATGGCCCATATTCTCCGGTCACGGAACGTAGGTAGAACAGCGGCTTCACCGGCCATGGCGGCACATCTTCACCTGACTTCTTGGACTGCCTTCTCGGATTGAAGCTGATGCACGAAGGCTACTCGGCGTCCTTGTCAATATGATCATGGAGCAGGAGCCGTGCTGGTGATAGACTCTGCGGCACCAGTTGGGAGCATCGCACCGCCCTTGGCTGCTGCATGGTTGTTACTATATACCCGGTAGGAGCGGGCTTGCGTGTCTGTCTCTCACCATACCCACGGACATGGCGTTACCGACTGCCAGTCGCTTGACCGCTTCGCCCATGGCACCAGCCATAGATGGCACCTTTGGGGCCATTCTTCTTGGCAACTTCGTTGGGCTCATGTGAGTATCTGCTGCTAATTCCTTCGGTGTTCTGATCGTGGGATACAGCCTATATGGGCAGACTCTGCACATGCTATACCGCTACGCAACTACGTATCCGGGAGATTCTCGAAGGCTGAAGACTTTGGTACGTTCTTGATAGGGTTCGTCGCTCGCTGCCATATAATAGCGGGTCCCATCGGATCTATAGGTCTACCTTGCGGTGTGAGCAGCCCTTACTCGTCCACCAGTTCACGGCGTACTGATATGTGCATCAGGCTTTTGGAAACTATATCTGCCGCCATGGGCATGCACAGCTGGTCCGTTCCCTCCAGCCACGTAAACTGCTTGTAATCATTCGCATCCTCTTGTGAAGCTATCACTATCTCGTCCGGAGCTATTTCCGGCCGGAAGCTCTCCAGATCGGTACATGGTGAGTGAGGTTTCGCGACGGTCAGTACACCATTCTCATTGAATTCCCGTGCTGACTAGGTCTCTCAATGTGCGTGCATTTGGTGGTTGAGGGGACCAAGGCTGGCGCTCATGGTATCTTCAAGCTCCAACCCTTAGCACTGGTACGCACTCTTCAGGTATTGTGGACACGGAGGGGCTCTGGACTCATCCTCGGTCCGATATAGGGACTGGCCATGGTTGTTTCTCAGAGGTTAGTTTTGACCGATTCCTCCTACAAGACTGACACATACTGCTCTGCTGTCTTAGCTTCTTCGCTCGACGATTGTGGCTCCTTGGCGGCCGCTATTGGATTATAGTGATCTTCGCGGTCAGTCAGGTCTGCCGAATTACATTCCGCACGATGCACAGATTGAAGCCGAGCGTATCTTTCCTTAGGTTCTCTGTTACGTTGCCGAACTAGGTGAGTTGTTTGCAGACAGACACTGCCCTGTCGACGTGACTGACCATCGTGGATAGGTCTCTTGCTAGGTGAGTACCCACTGCTGACACCACGCCCGGACCAGCGGAATAACAATACGCCCTCAATACCTACAGCGGCCACGGCCAAATTGTGCGTGCGTTTGTCTCCCTTCTTAATGATTCTAATACGGCGGAGAAGGTTTGTCGTCGACAACATCGACGTCGTCAAGATGATTGCAGTAAGACCCAGGGTACAATGCTGTACTCATGGTCGCGCAGCTGACTGTCTTTTCCGAACTCCCGCAGCTTCTAATCCCGACGTCGTTTGCCTTCGCTTTAGCCGCCGATCTCGTCTTGACGGTTGCCCTCGTCCACGTCCTGCACCGTAGTCGAACAGGACTCAAGAGGTACACTTTCACTCGCCTGACATGGCTGCGACTTCGTTGCCCCTCTGACGTACCCTCAACATAGTACAGACACCATGATCGACGTGCTGATCATGTATACGGTCAGCACAGGTCAGTCCGCTTGCACCCTCCGTCGTTCCGCTACGATGCTGAACTTGGCTGTACCCTAGGACTACTGACCGGGTATGGCTCCCATTACATCATCTGGAGGTTTAGGACTGACATGGGGCCGCTATCACTATCATAGAGTCGTGGACATCTTGGCGACAGTATTCGTGGGTTTTCCTGTCCTAGTTGCCTCGCGACCTTTACTGAGGCAGGTCG